AAGTGGACTGAGGTTAGGGTGTCTGGCCAGGAGGGGACTTGGGTAGGGGTTGGACATCCCTGGTCTGGCACCCTCTGGACCTGACTCGTCCTAAATGAGGGATTTTTTTGGACCGGGGGAGGTCATTTCAGGCCTCCTGCTGCTGTCCCCTCCCATTTAGGCTTCTTTGTACCTGCCTCCCCTGCAACCCAGCTGAGCTCCTTCCCCCCCTCCCCACAATATTCTTGCCAGCAAGTTAAGGGAATTTGGGTTGGATAAATGGACTGTAAGATGGATAGAAAGCTGGCTAAACCAGGGTTTCCCAAACCAGATGACGGATTTTTTGGACCAGGGGAAGTCATTTCAGGGCTCCTGATTCCCTCCCTCCCCACTAGGCTTCTTTGCACCTCCCTCCCCTGCAACCAAACTGAGCTGCCCACCTCCACTGGTTCCCTGCAGCTCCCCCAAAACCATTCCCCACAATCCAAGGGAGTGCAGCACCAGTTCCCTGCAGCCCCTCACAGCCCAGTTGAGCTGCTTTTCTGTTCCCTATGCCTTCCCCCATCCACCTCAGCCCAGTTGATCCCCATACTGGTTCCCTGTATGCCTCCCCCACAGCACAGCTGAGCTCCGTTTCTCTGCACCTCCCCCCAAACCTCACAGACCTGCAGAGCCAGGTTTCCTTCCCTCGAGACCAGTCCCTGGGTTCCTGGCACCTCCCTCCTCCTGCAGCCCAGTGCCCTGCAACTCCTCCCTCCCGCAGGCCAGCTGAACTCCACACCTGGCCTCTCCCACATCCCAGCTGAGCAAAGCACCCAGTTCCCAGCATCTCCCCTGTCCCCAAGCCCAGCTGAGCCAAGTGCCCTGTACTTCCACCCTCCCACAGCCCAGCTGAGCAAAGCACCCAGTTCCCAGCACCTCCCCCCTCCCAGCTGAGCTCCCTGTAATAGTAAAATGTTTTTAAGTACATCAGAAGCAGGAAGCCAGCTAAACAACCAGTGGGGCCCATGGATGATCGAAATTCTTAAGGAGCACTCAAAGATGATAAAGTCATAGCAGAGAAGCTAATTGAATTCTTTACTTCAGTCTTCATGGCTCAGGATATTGGGGAGATTCCCAAACTTAAGCCATTCTTTTTAGGTGACAAATCTGAGGAATTGTCCCAGACTGAGGTGTCATTAGAGGAGGTTTTGGAACAAATTGATAAACTTAACAGTAACAAGTCACCAGGACCAGATGGTATTCACCCAAGATTTCTGAAAGAACTCAGTTGGGAAATTGCAGATCTATTAACTGTGGTTTGTAACCAATCCTTTAAATCAGCTTGCGTACCTAATGATTGGAAGATAGCTAATGTGATGCCAACATTTAAAAAGGGCTCTAGAGGTGATCCTGGCAATTACAGACTAACATCAGTACTGGGGAAATTAATTGAAACTATAGTAAAGAATAAAATTGTCAGACATGTGGATGAATATAATTTGTTGGGGGAAAGTCAGCATGGTTTCTGTAAAGGGAAATCATGCCCTACTAATCTGCTAAAGTTCTTTGAGGGGGGTCAACAAACATGTGGACAAGGGGGATCCAGTGGATATAATATAATTAATTTCCAGAAAGCCTTTGACAAGGTCCCTCACCAAAGGCTCTTTAAGTAAAGTAAGTTGTTATGGGATAAGAGGGAAGGTTCTTTCATAGATTGATAACCGGTTAAAAGACAGGAAACAAAGGGTAGAAATAAATGGTCAATTTTCAGAACTGAGAGATGTAACTAGTGGTGTCCCCCAAAGGTCTGTACTTAGTCCAATCCTGTTCAATTGATTATAAGTGATCTGGAGAAAGAACTAAATATTAAGATGGCAAAATCTGCAGATCATATCAAACTGCTCAAGATACTTAAGACCAAAGCAGACTGTGAAGAGCTTCAAAAAGATCTCACCAAACTAAGCGATTGGGCACTAAAATGGCAAATGAAATTTAATGTTGATAAATGTAAAGTAATGCACATTTGAAAAAATAATCCCAACTATATGTACAATATGATAGGGACTAATTTGCATACAATTAATCAAGGGAGAGATCTTGGAGTCATTGTGGATAGTTCTCTGAAAACATCCATTAAATGTGCAGTGGCAGTCAAAAAAGCAAACAGAATGTTAGAGTCATTAAAAAAGGGATAGAGAGTAAGACAGAAAATATTGTATTGCCTCTATATAAAACCCTGGTACGCCCACATCTTGAATAGTGTGTACAGATGTGGTCACCTCATTTCAAAAAATGGCATTGGAAAAGGTTCAGAAACGGGGAACAACAATAATTAGTGATTAGGAACAGGTCCCATATGAAGAGAGATTAAAAACACTTGGGCTACGTCTACACTGGCATGATTTTCCGGAAATGCTTTTAACGGAAAAGTTTTTGTTAAAAGCATTTTCGGAAAATCGCGTCTAGATTGGCAGGACACTTTTGTGCAAAAGCACTTTTTGCGTAAAAGCGTCCGTGGCCAATCTAGATGCACTTTTCCGCAAAAAAGCCCCGATCGCCATTTTCGCGATCGGGGCTTTTTTGCGGAAAACAAATCTCTGCTGTCTACCCTGGCCCTTTTGCGCAAAAGTCTTTCGGAAAAAGACTTTTGCCCGAATGGGAGCAGCATAGAATTTCCACAAAAGCACTGACTATCTTACATGAGATCGTCAGTGCTTTTGCAGAAATTCAAGCGGCCAGTGTAGACAGCTGGCTAGTTTTTCTGCAAAAGCAGATGATCTTGCGGAAAAACTTGCCAGTCTAGACACAGCCTTGGACTTTTTCATCTTAGAAAAGAAGAGACTAAGGGGGGGATATGATAGAGGTCTATAAAATCATGACTGGTACCAAAAACATGAATAAGGAAAAGTTATTTATATATTCCCACAATATAAGAACTAGAGATCACCAAGTGAAATTAATAGGCAGCAAGTTTAAAACAAACAAAAGGAAGTTTTTCTTCACTCAGCACACAGTCAACCTGTGGAATTCCTTGCCAGAGGATGTGGTGAAGCCTAGAACTTTAACAGGGTTCAAAAAAGAGCTAGATAGATTCATGGAGGTTCGGTCCATCAATGGCTATTAGCCAGGATAGGTAGAAATGGTGTCTCTAGCCTCATTTCTCTGGTGGTGGGTGACAGGTGAGGGATCACATGAGGATTACCTGTTGTGATCCTTCCCTCTGGGGCATCTGGTATTGGCCACTGTCAGCAGACAGGATACTGGGCTAGATGGTCCTTTGGTCTGACCCAGTATGGCTGTTCTTATAATCTTATAGTGAAAAACAAAACACAGCAGCACGTTTCTGAGCCTGCATCAACTGACTTGGGCTCATGTTATGCTCAAAAATAGCTGTGTAGATATTGGGGCTCTAGCTGAAGCCTGAGCTTCCATGAACATTTCCTTGCTAAGTCTCAAAGCCAAGGCCCCCTCTCCAGGCTGCAACCCAATGTCAATGCTGCTATATTTAGCCCCACAATATGAACTTGAGTCAATTGACTCAACTCCCAGACTCACTGTCATGTTTTGTTTTTTAGCGTAGAGGTGTCCACTGTTATTTTGAAGTGTGGTCTCTTACTTTCAACTAGCTTAGTTCAAGTGCAGTAAATTGAGTGTCCTAACCTGAGCTAGTTGTCGCCATGAAGGCAAGCCCTTAGAAATGTTGATTTCAAGCTAGTGAGAGCAAACCCTGGCACATGCAACTAAATCCAGCTCCCTCTGCAGCAGGAAACCTGAACATAGAGGAAGAAATCCCCTTGAGAGCCACCATTTATTTCCCAAAAAGAAACCATCCACCCAAACCCAAGAACATCATGGACAGCTTTTGCCCTGAGAAGTGCCCTCCCCTGAAATCCACTAAAGACCGTACATTTACTGGGAAGGGTTGAGTGAGCATAAAGCTGGGTAGTCGCATGAAACTGTACATGTGGGCCACATGCAGGTTTTGTACGTATATAACTATTTGGAGCAGGGAGTGATTTTTGCCTACACAGTTACAGCAGAATATATCCAATGGGGATGCATAATGCCTTTGTACAGGTGCCCTGCACATTTCCTACCTATATGGACACACACAAGTGTTGGCGAAATCTCGCTCCCCTGCGGTACAGAGTCCCCAGAAGGGTCCGAGGCTGGAGGTCAAAGCAGTGAGGCAGGAGAGAAATCTAGAAGGAAAACTTTATTCTGCATTCAGGCAGGCTGACAGCTACCAGGGTGAGAGCAGCAGCCCTGAGACAGGTTCCGGGTCCTTTCTACAGATGCTCAGACAGTGCAGTTGTTGATATGTTAAAGAAAACAATCAAAGTCTCAGCAGAAGCACTCGGAGGTTTCTGCTCACCCCAGAAGTCAGTTTGCAGAACAAAGGAGCCTGCGAGGCAAACTGCGACACCATCAGGGTCCACGTGGCAGTTTGCGACGCCTCGGTCTCCATGAAGTTGAGCGCGGAGGCGCCGGAGGGGCCTGGGAACGCGGAACCCTTCCGGCCGCTTCCCTCTGACCCCTGCAGCCCCAGACACACCAGCAGGGACCACAAGATCCCCGGGAGGGGAGTGACCCGGGCCCGCCCCAGGGACCCAGCAGGGGCGCCAGGGTGGGGGCGGGGCGAGCAGGAGGCACAGGAAGGGGCAGGGGGGGGTGCACCGCAGGCTGCTCTAGCTCACGTGGCTCAGCCGTGGGGGCGGAGTCGGCTCAAGCCAGCTGAGTTCGGGAAATTGCCTTAAGGGACCACCACTAGCACCCCGCACAGCCAACACCACATCCGGATCCGGTCACGTGACACGCTGCTCCCGTGACCCCTTCCGGGCGCCTCTCGCCTAAACGGACACGTAACTACTCGCACCTCAACCAAACCGCGCTTCTCCTCAGACTCCGCCCCTCCTTTCACTTTTTGACCTATCACAAGTCACGCCTGGAACGTCCGTCTCATCCATTTCCGCCCTGAGTGGCAGTCTCACTATCCAATCAGCTTTGGTGTAACAGGCCGTATCTCAAGGGCGCGGTGAGGGACAGCGGTGTGTGTCAATGGGTGTTGCCAGGAGGCGGGGCAGCGAGCTGAGGGCGGCAGGCAGGGGTGGGTGCGGGGAGGGGATGGATGGCTGAGGGAGCGGGGCGAAGAGCGGCGCCCAGGTGAGGGTTTGCGGGCCGCGCGCGCGTGCGGCGCCGGGTCCGTCCC